TGGTGAAAGAACGGAGAGAAACGGTCAAAATACGGCGAAGAAGAAGCCTCCGTTCTTAGTGACTTGTAAATCGATTTCGGACGAGTTTCCCGTAGGCATCTTACCAATCACCGCTACCGAAGATACGGCTGCATATGTGTACCCATGCAGCATCACGGCCGCTTCATACCAATCCCTTCGCTTCATAATTTGCTTAGCAAATGAATCGATTAGAGCGTCAGGAACGGTCGTCCATTTGTGGGCGGGCGGGCGTTTTGGGACGTAAAGTTGTGGCTTGATAGGGCCCTTATAAGGGCACCTTCCTCGGGGAAACCGCTATGCAGCGCCTGCCCAGGGTCGCGGAATTCTATCCTGCCAGGAGTATTGATCCTAGTCGTCTTGGGGGATTTATCGTGCCAACTGCCTTTAACTCTACTGGTGATGTACAACCTTCTTTTTCGATGGTGGAACACCTTTTCTCACTTGCTTGCGGACATATCCTTAACGAAGTGCTAGGTGACACAATTAAGCGCAGGAATGTCGTGCTCAATAACAGATTGTACACTTGACCTCCAAGGACGGTCCTGCCCTAGTGGTAGGTAAAAGGGTTCGTAGTTGTGCAGTAGCGTGCCATTTTCTCCACTCAAAATTGTACTGTAGTGGGCTTGAAGGTAACGATACTCGGGTACCACCTTTCAACTGCACCTCCCCTAAATGTGCAGCATTTGCACCCCAATGTGCCGGAGCGAAACACACAGTCAGCGAAAAAGAACACCCAGAAGTGAGAGGGTGCAGACGAGTAGCACGCACGACGGCTGGGCGTGGGACGGTATCGCGAACCAGCTTTGCTCCCGTATTTTGAGTGGAGACAGGGACGTGCTACTGCAGCTGCGGATGCATTTAGCTCGCAAGTGACGAGATGCAGGGCTCACGGAAGTTGAGTTTGTGATCCCGTTCCTTGGTGAATCCTGGTACCTCTCAAACTGCAAAAAGACTTTTTTTTAATGGGAAGTCGTCGTGCTACGTGCACAGCTCCTCATAAATCGAGTGAAAACTGTCAGAGGGTCAGGAAAAGAACAGAGGTCTACGAAGAAAGATTGTGGTGCAGAACTAAAAATGAATGGAATGGCACTGTATTTATCTATCAATGACTCATTGTAGCAGTGAATATAACGAACCAATCATTGTTTCGATGAATACAGTAGCGTAGAGCATTCAGGACTTGGAAAGGAGACGGTAGAAAAAAGTCAAACGGAACTGTCGAATGTAAGCGGGACCATTTGTGTAAGCATAACATTTGAGTCTGCTTGGTTGCAAAATGATCGTGTACCCTTGTACATCACCAAAATGTCGCTATCTGCCTTCAGGCGGGTTAGTTTTGGGTGTGACCCTCTGGCACCTTCCGTACTATCCCTGTCATGAATTGCTACTTTGCAAGACCTCTCTCCGAACTCAACTCTTCAATAGTGCTCATGTATAGGCTCTCAAGCTAACAGGTTAGAATTTTGACCAAGTTTCACACCTCTCCCAAATCAAATGGAGGTGATGCTCAATAAGAACGTGAGAGCCTCTAGCGACATCTATCTTTTCCCCATTCTTTGGCATGATTCTCCATGAATAAGATGTTCTAGTGAGCTCCGTTCGTAAGAAAAGGGCATAAGATTAATGGCTCGTCGATGAGGTCAAGTCTTCGATTCTCTTGAGCCGTCATACATTTTCAAAAGACACAGGTTCTTGACCAATACTTAACAGAAAGGCCTGTGCGGCTTTAGCGTTTCAATTAGATGTGAAAAGGAGAGACTGTCGAAAATGCTTAATTTTGTCGACTTGGTACCCCAATTTGAGAGCTTCAAAATTAGTGGAAACAAAACATTCACTGAAACCAAAAGGACTGTCGGCGCAGTGCAGCGATGGGTTGGGGGAGGAAGAGTATCTTTGCACTTTCGTTGCTTCACTGGTTCCAGTTTACAAGTCTCACTCTAGTGAAACTTGTGAACTCTTGTAGAGCTGGAGCCTCCTCGTCGAGGCAGCATGGTAAGCTGGGAAGTATTACAAGTGCAAAGTGCTCTCCCCCCCACCATCCCCCCGTAGCTGACTTGCCCCACGACTGTCTATGGATCAAGGAATTCTGTACTCATGCATGGTAAAACCTATAAACTTGAAGGCAGCGTCCGCGTTCAGTTGAGATTTTC